GTTAGCTATGATTTGGACTAAAGTTATGTTTTTGACATGTCATTGTTTCCTGGGTAATCATTCTATGTAGATAAATCATAATAATATTAATAATAGGGTTTCCGWTCGAGTTGTTTTATATAATTTTTTTCTTAGAGGACGACCGAGCACGAAGTTCTTAACTTTTTCTTTTAATTTGATTTGTCTTTATTTTAATGATGTTTGACTTCCATTTGTTTCAAAGAGATTTCGTTGATTCCGTTGATTCCGTTGATTCCGTTGATTCCGTTGATTCCGTGAATTCGATATGCCGTATTTCAAAACTGGATAAAATTTAATGTACTTATAGTTTTATTTGTCTAGTGTTTTACAAATACTTAGTGGTTCTTCACTAACAACTTGGAGAGAAAAAAATTCCAAAAGTCTATGTTTTCCTTCGGTCAAACAGGTTATAGATTATAAAAGGTTTCTTGTGAATGAATTCCATACATTCCTTGTCATTGCCTTTATGATTCTCCGCAATAAAAATATAAAATTGCTCTGCTGCACAAAGGTCAAAGTCAAAACCTGGTGTTCAGGATCGGTTATTTAGATATCAATGGATTCATTTACCTTCTTGAAAAGCAATTCCTTCTTCTTTCTTTTCGTTTGTAAAGAAAAGAACTCTTGATTTTTACCTCAGCCGCCATTTTTGAACTTAGAAACCAGGCCATATTTGGTGTAAAAAGTGTTGGTATTCCTGTGTTATTAGAGTGAATTTCGCGCCAATATTTAGATTTTTAAAAATAATAACTCTTAAAAAATGTCTGATAGTCTCTCTCTTTATGTGAAACAGTCATATGACTGGAATTAATTGAAGTTCAACTCTGAAACACATAAAAAAAGTCCCTAACCTAGAACTTTTAAATTTTGTTAATCAAGTCTCATTTCCAGACTTCTAGGGTAACCGGACCGAGGACAAGTTTAACCAATCAATCAATATTTATTCATCTTAAATATGTAAAAACGACTCATTACCAAGCAAAAGATAATAGTCATAAATCGGTAATATATACACAACTAATTACGAGAAAAATAGAAGATTTTTTTTTCACCGGATGCAATTACACATAAAAGAGAATAGGTCATCCTACAAACTTAGCAGAAAACAACGTAACAAATCATTAATTAAAATTTATGTAATATTCCTTAAACGTAATAAATTAAAATCTATCAATAATCAGAAGAAGAAGAAGAAGAAGAAGAAGAAGAAGAAGGAGGAGGAGGAGGAGGAGGAGGAGGATTGTTAATGAAAGAGCTTTTAGTACCTTTAGGAAAAGACTTAAAATGCTGTTTTTTCTTTCACATTTACAGTCAGGTAAAGAATTCCAATGAATAGATCCAGCAGATTTAAGGGAACGTATACCATAATTTCATTGATCTTATACCGTAATTTAATTGATCACGTGGTGTCATCACGTGAAAAATTTATTTGGCGTCCACTTTTCGTATTGGGTTTCCACAAGATTCGGGCATTACATGTGCTACGGCTGAAACGTGTTGTACAGAGGTTTTCAAAACGTAATAATCACACAAATCTGAGGTTATTCGGCAAATGAGATGGCTGATGTTGTAGACCCTGCAAAATTACTAATGCTCTCTTCGGGGAAAACTAACTACACGAGGCTTTCAAGACTTCTACTTTGTGGTGGTACGATGATCATGAGAGGAGTGTTAAACTATCGTTTACCTCGTCTACTCGCAAAACCCAAAGTCAAACAAAAGCTCAAACGCATGAGAGGGGAAAAAATATTACACACAGAGTGGAAGAAACTTTATCCTGCTCGAGGACGTTATGGAAAGAGTGAAACATTTGACATATCATTGATGTTCAAACTGTTGAGAGAATTCTCTGGGTTACGAGCGCCTCGTACAGGATGGGACAACCTGCCTGATGACGAGGATCTTACTTCGTCTGCTGATTTAGTAAGGATCAAGTATTATCGAAACAAATTTTCTCATGATAACGGAAGCATGGAAGTAAGTGATGAGGAATTCAAAGACATAGGCACTCGAATCAAGGATGCGTTAGTAAGGATGTTGCTCAACAGCAATTTACCAAAAATTGCTGAATGGAAAAATGCGATGGATGGTCTGCTCAGTGGCTCCAAAACAGAGGAGGATGAAGTGAAACTGAACCAACGAATCAAGGATGGAGGTTAGAATGTCGATATTCTTGAGCTCACTAGTTATTTACCGTAGTCGTGTATGACGCTAGGGCGATCGTGTTCGATAATAATAATGCTCTGTCTTATTTTTTTATTTTCCCTGTTTCCTTCGATTTTAATTTTATCCACATATACTTAGTTCATAAAAATCTAACTATAAAAAGGGCGTTGAAATCAAGATTTCTTTGGCTTTCTTGCGACGGTAAAACCCCAGGTGAATTTTGCTTAGTCTTGTTTAATCAGGTCGCATTATCTCATGGTCTTAATATAGAAAGGTCGGGGAAACCGAAGACGATTGGTCGGCGCCAAATCATTACAATAACAACATTTATAGAATTCTTGGATAAATTGACCTTTAATTTTTCAGTAACAGAACATATATCTGTGCATCGTCCTTGCTCATTAATGACCTAAACAGATATATTCTAAATTAATATTAATATTACTATTATTATTATAATTTAATTTCACCATCAGTTTAGTAGTATTATGTCTGAGCAAAATTTATATTATCATCATCAACCTCAACATCGTCATCATCATCATCATTTATTATTATTATTAGTAGTAGTAGTAGCAGTATTATTATTGTTTATTATTCATTATTATTATTATTATTATTTTATTATTATTATTATTATTATTATTTATTATTATTATGAATTAATGGAAAAGAATAATTATCATGGAACCTCGTAGTTTTAATTATATCTTTTAAATTTTAGAATTTTGGGTAGAGTATGTCAATTTGGTAGACGTCCTTGACAAGATCCTGCCAGGATGATAATGGAAATAATGACATATTTACTTTCAGTGTGTTTCAAGGTCAAGCTGGGATTCGAATTCAGTGGCGTAATTTTTCATTAGAAGAAAAAAGAGCTTTTAAGTGTCACGTCCGACGAAATACTGAACTTCCAGGCCAAAAAGGGTTCCAAAACGAAAAGCAGACAGGATTTGTTGTCCAAAGTTTTTATTGTTTTAAGCGGAGGTTAAATTAACGAGAGAAAAATTCATTCTACTTCGCCTCATTTTAGAAATTTTGGTGAGCGGTTAGACCTGAAAACACGTCACAACTTAATAACTTTTATTATTTCCTTTTTACTCTGCTTTTTCTTGTTTTCAGGCACGAAGTTAAAGATGTTTTTAAGAAACTACCATAGCAGTGGTGAAAGAAGACTCGTTCTTCCACTTCCTTGGATGGAACCGGAAGGCGAGCGTTTCCATATCAAGAATCTTTACACTCAAGTGAAAATATCCGAAAAAGACACCGATGAATTAGTCGAAATGGAAAGTCTTTTTTCTCCAAGCTCTGGAGGTTTGGCAAAGTGCACTAGGATCCTGATAGAAGGCGAACCAGGAATCGGAAAGTCTTCATTGTGCAAGAAGATAGCTTATGACTGGAGCATGAACGAAGCTTCAGTTTCTCACATCTTTCAGCAATTTGAGCTATTGTTCGTGCTCAAGTGTACTGGTAAACAGCTCCACCATGAAGACATCTGGAGTCTTATTGAGGAAGAGATCCTACCTAAAGAGCTTTGCAGCCAGAAAGAAGAAATGTGGATGTACATCAAGGAACAACAGGAGAAGCTGTTGCTGATAATAGATGGGTTTGATGAGATTTCTACAGCCCATGGCTCCAAGACAAGGAAGGCAGTCCTAGACATCATAAGCGGAAAAATGCTTTCACGGTGTCACTTGATCGTAACCTCGCGTACCGACAAAGAGTCAGAGATTCGCAAACACTTCGACAAGATTCTAAATATAAGGGGATTTCAGTGGAACGAGTCCTGCAATTTTTTCAGGAAGTTCTTCTCGTCATCTCCAGATAAGGCCAGAGATATAATTTCATGGATTCGTAAAAATAATGAAGTCAAGGAATTGGTTGGCAATCCCTTGTATGCAGCCTTCACGAGCCTCATCTTTGAAGAAGAACAGCAAGACAAGCTTGACCTTTTTGGTTTTTTCTACGAAATCGTATTCTGTGTTACAAAACGATATTGTGTTGAGAAACAAGACCAACAAGTGAATGATGATACACTTATGAATAAGTTTCATGACGAGCATTTGATGCTTGGAAAGCTTGCACTCGAAATGAGTAAGGGACAGGTCGATTATCTTGAAGAAGGGGTTCCTTTCTCGCATTTGTCGCAGACCCTCAAAGACCTGGGTTTTCTCAGTCACAGAAAAGTGATAAACAGGATAAGGCCAAAGTCCTGTTTTTGTTTCTCTCATTCCTTAATCAGGAAGTATTTTGCTGCATTTTATGAGAGAGAATCGTCTAGGATTATTAGTAATCGTGACCTGAATGAACGTCCGCGGTTGGGTGGGTGGATGCAGTGGGTCGGTCCAGTGGGTCCAGTTTTTTAAATCATTTTGAGTGCCCGGATTTCCATGTATTTTAATGCTTGCTTTGAAACCCATTCACAAGTGTTCCATCACTTACTTGCTGCTTCTTGTTTCTCGAAACTGTTTCGTTTCGCAACACTTTGTACGCTTTCGTAATAGAAAACTCTGAAGATCAAGCCTCAACTGAAAAATGACATTCCCATTGGATGTCCAGTTATATTATCTGACATTCCTATAAGCCATGGTGGATGGATAGTAGTTAGTGCATGCATATATAGATGGGCCTTTACTACTGGCCAAATCCTGCTGGTAGCGTATTAGATTGGATTACAATTATGCAAGATACCTTACGCACAGGTGACATCCAGATCATGCCTGAGATTCAGGAGTAATCGACTCACACGAAGATTAATGACTATCTCAGCTGTAATCTGCAACTGATATCTACGTCAAAGACAATAAGATGACACATTGCAAGCCAGAACACGAGCCGTCTACACCTAGTGTGATGAAGACGCTTCATTTTCAAGTAACTTCAAATCTAAAACATGTCTTCTTTATATGATGAAATTCTCCCCCCCCCCCCCCCCCCCCCCCCCCACCCGCTTAAGAGTTAATTTAGTAGAGTTGCATTTACTTCCGAGTTTTTCTCAAATGAACTAAAACCCCACTGTTTGCGTGGATGTTTAAAATATCACTACACAGTTACATCAGTATAGTCAGATTATCTTTATTTGAAGTGTACTAGACTGAAATGCATTACAGTACGCTTTAAAATGGCAATACTAATGTACCTTCAATTTAGCTATACGAAGCATTTGTCGAAACCTTTACATTATAAGCAACTACACTTACTTTTATCTGCATTTGCAATAAATTGCTTACTTTTCCATTCGCGATAGCAGAGTTCTAATAGTTGTTTGGTTATAATCATAATCGGATCTTTACACCTTATCTTATCCAAAGATTCAAAGAATATAATGAAGTCGGGGCAGAAGAAGCTTGATTACCAAAATCATATTCACCACCGTTTAACCCGTCTTCAAACGCACCGTAATCATTCTCAGTAATGCCAATACCGTGGTCAGCTCGATTACATGCACTTCCTCCTCCGCCAATCATCATCACCGCCCCATCACCCGTTTCCCAGTTACACCAGAACCCTATGTAACTACTGTTTTGAATATTGCCATTACAATTAGCCATGGAAAAAGAATCAGTGGATTGATACTGTCCACCGTAAGACACGGGACAGTTTCCAAGACAACGATCATCTGACCATTGGTTCCTGTATTTAAAGGTACCATAACTGGACATCTTAGAGCGAAAGGTACGGGATCCCAAACAGTTGGACGTAGTTTGCAGTAGTGCAGTGTGCGAAGAATCGTCAGATCGTGTAATCTTGATCTCGGTACCGATGATTGACCAGAAGGCAGGGGATATCATGTCTTGATTGTCTGTTGCACTTGTGGGGCTTCCTTGACCTGTCATGACGTCATACCACCAGGAGCCATCGTCTCTCATCCAGTTATTTGTGTCAGCGTTAGAGAATCGGGCGATCAGAGTCCATCCACCTGAGTTAGCACTCATATCACAATATGCCTGGATGGGAATTTGCACATATCCAGTTAACATATCCTTCATCAGCACAAATTATATTTTATTCGTGTACAATGTCTCTTCAATTTTAATGGTCAGAACGAAAATGCATGGAAGAACACAAGAAAGTAACATATTCGCATTGGTCTCGCTGTACCAATGTAGCATGAGTGTGGGAACAGACATGCTGGGGGAGCTCTACAAAGGACCATAAGTGCACGACAAAAAAGAGGGGACGAAGGGGCTGAGAAATAAGAAAATTAACAGAGCAACAGCAGGTCGCAATCGGGGAGAGTACAGCGAGGCAACTAGAATACTTGAAGTGCGCTGGATACTGTACGGCCTTGTTAAGCAGGTTTGAAGTGACCAATATGCTAATCAGTTGTTATACATTTATACTACTGAAACCGCTGAGAAGACTAGCGAGTACACGACTGCATAGTGCTTTGCTTATCGTCATAATACCTGCAGAAGCAGACCTAGAAGTCTACTGACAGCATCAACTTTGAAAGACATGATATCAATACTGACCTGAAAAGATGTCCCTTGTGGGGTAAGCCGATAAATTCCAGATGAAGAAATCCCGCTGTTTTTCAATGATAAACATGAAGCTCTTGATGGGGCTTTTGACATGAAAAGAATAATAAGAAGGGAAATACATTGATAAATATCCAAGACATTGCCACGAAAAAAATAAACAATAATAATAATAATAACTTTATTTAACGAAGGTATGCAATTTATCGTAGATAATTTTCAATTGCCCTTCTAATTATAAAAACCTTACAAAGTATACAAGCTAAATTAGATAATCAATATGAATAATAAAATATATTTCATGGAGAAAAAAGACGATACAGAATGTAACTTAAAATAAAATTTAAAATAATGAAACAGAATAAATAGAATAAATAGGGGTAAATCTAATACTAGGTATCTAATGCAAAAGGATTATCATATAAACTAGAGGCTATAAATTTACGATAACTATATTTAAAACTAGCTAAGGAACTTGAGTTTCTTATATCGATTGGTAATGAATTCCAAACTGGCCCTGGTGCCTGTGTAGAAAAATGCACGCTGCCCGAAATTCTTTTTGAGTAGTGGAATTGTAAGAAGCTTATTTGTTTTCGCCCTAGCATTCAACTTAGGTGTATTCTTAAATTTCTTAAAAATTCTTAATAATAATAATTAGTCGGCATTCCGAGGTTTTGAGGAAAACTTGGGTCGATTTGGCATTGCAGTACGATGTGATTGTGGTACTGTTTGCAGGGACGTATTTCCAAGATGACATCTATTTTGTCCCCTAAAACAGTCCAACAATGCACTACACGTAATGCCAACTCGACCCGATTTTTCCCTCAATTTCGGAGTGACGGGCTATTACTCCAGTTTCGACTTCTCTTTGCTCAGCCCGGTTGCCGGTGCGTTATAATAATCAGCTACTGAATCAACCAAAACCAGTGGCATTTTAATCAATTCGTATTGTTCCATAGCACGTATCCTCCTTACTATGCAATGAACAATACACAATCGAGGCTAATACTGAGCGAAAGCGAACACGAAATGGGACTAATTTAATGTCATACCTTCACATCTGTTACCGTAGTGTGTACTAGGGCATATACATGTGTAGTTATTGACACCATCTACACACGTTCCTCCATTCAAGCAATGATGACTCTGGCAATCATCGTAGTCTTGTGAAAATAACAAAATAACGGTTTGATGTTTTTAGTGGGGTTACGTATTTAGCCCTTATATCTTAAATTTGCAGCATTTTCAATATTAATAATAACTTCTTATTAAGATATATATCTTTAGAAAACTCATTAATAATTCATGAAGAAAACACAATAGAAATCATGAGCATGAAGGTGATTTTATATCTGATAAAGATTCGTCTTCATTTGCATAAACTTTAACTTGGATTTTCTCTATCAAACTTGGTTCATTTCGTAAAAAAATCGGTACACAATGAGAACAAACATCATAAGTTTTCTAAGCCGTTCAATAATCTCGCAGATCGTGGTTTATCGGGTCTAAAACCACTCGGCTACGCCTCGTGTTTTATACCCGATAAAACACTCCTGCTCGTTTATTAAACATTACATAGATAGCTCACTGGCACATATAGCCACCTCTAGGTTATTCCAGTTTATAGCTAACACCTGATTGAAAAACAGCATATTATGTAAAAACAATGGTGTAAATAAACAAATTGTCATATTGACATAAAAACATATTAATATTTGAGATTGTCCAGTTAATCATATCCATAAAGAGAGTGATAAAGCAACTTACTGTCACACTGTGCTCCACTGTAGTGTGTCGGACACGAACATGTGTAGTTCATTTTACCATCGATGCAAGTTCCACCATTCTGACAGGGGCTTGAGGAACACTCATTGAATTCTGGATAATGGACAAAAATAGGTTTAACCTCTCTTCATTGCAAGGAAGTTAAAGCTAGTTTATATTTTTATCCCCCTGCCCCCCCCCC